GGCTTTTTAAACACAGGTAGTCAAATATATCCTTGTGGGGATTGGTTTGGGAGTTGTTGTTTTGGGGTTTTTCTTTTTTCTTGTAGCCATTCATTGCTGCTTGTTTTCTGTGACCTGAAAATGCTGCTTCGGTTTTTGATGTATGCTGCCATAACATCCCTGTTCATTCCTTTCCCAGAAGACCACACTAGTTTTTTCCCCTCCTTTGGACAAGGTTTCTTCTTCTCATACTGTTGCTTTCTTTAAGTGGTATAGGGTATTTTTCTGCTATTGGGTTTCTTAGAATGAATTCTTTTTAAATAGCACAACTCTGGAAAAGGAGTTAAAATCTGAAAAGGAACAGAGGCAAACTTTGCAAAGAGAACTACACCAAGAGAAGGATGCTACCACTCTGCTTAAAACAGAACTGCAGCAAATGGAAGGACTAAAAAAGGTATGCACAGTGGAAACACGTCCAGTGCTTCGGGATGAAAGCTGACTTTAGAACAAGTGTTAGGGTTAAAGCTGACTTAGAACTGTACCTCTCCTCTGAGTCATTTCAAAAGCCTGGCTGACATAATGCAAGCCTGCACATGAAATGCCAAGAGAAGGAACTTGGAGCAATATAGGGCTCAGGCAATGAAAACAGCTTAGCTAGAGATGGCTGAGGAGGTTTCCATCCGCCCTCCCTTAGCTGCACGAGTGTCTGAGCCACTCATCAGTCAGCAGCTGAAGCCGAGGTGGGACAGCTGAGGACACAATAAATTAATTTTGTGCTTAACTTTATAGGAACTGAGAAAACTGCAAGATGAGAAGCAGCAGTTAGAGAAAGTCTGTGAGGAGCAGGAGCAAGCTCTTCAAGAAATGGGACTTCATCTCAGCCAGTAAGTTCTAGGAACTGAACTCCTGCAGGTGACATAACCTGGAGGATGGAGTATCAAACCAATACAAATAATTCTAAAATGCAGCCAGTTATAAAAAGCAGGAAACATGAGAATTTTAGGAGACAATTACTATGCATGGGAATGAAACAACCATGAGATAAAAATGAGGGAAGATCCTTACATGAGTAAGCTGGCCAAGATAGGAAACAATACAGTAAACGCTTAGTTCTTACAATCAAACTGTGCTTCAGCCACATTCTTCTGAACATACTGGGAAGGGGGAAAACCCCGAGGTGACAAAGCTTCCTGGTGATACTGAG